TACGTACGTACGTACGTACATAATGAACATTGGTGGCGCCACCCACATGACCCGTAAAATCGGAGATCGCCCTGGTCGTGCTTATCTAATTATACCGAACTTAATTACGTTGAATTCAGGTTTATACAACCTGGTGATAGGTGAGTACAAAGAACCTGATGGCTGTTTTGTGCCCCGACGTCTGCTAAATCTGCCAAACCCGGTGTATGTAATTTGAATATTATTTGTTTGGAACTAAAAATATGTACAGTATTTGATATTAATCTATAAACTTTAGGGGAACCCATGGCCGACTATTATCCTCGAGGTTGCTTCCTTTGAAACGCTTAAATATATAAAGGACAAGATCAACAACTTTTGGCTAGTCCTAAACCGTTGCGAGGATGTGATTGTTTTTAAATGGGCAATTGGAGTAATAAGCACTGTAATCAGAATGGGCAACCATTGCGTCATTTGCGAGTTCAGTATTGTTCCGTAATTTATGTGATTTTCCTTGCTCTTTCCATTTCATCATTCATTTGTATTTCCGATAGTGTCTGAAATTTTGTCGACATGCAACTCTTCAACTAAACCAAAACACTACGACATTTGATCCAATTCAAGAGATAAATATAATGGAGTTTTGCGAATAACCTTTTTTTCACCTGTTTACTCATATTTAAAAATGGTAGATTGAGTTTGGGACTGTTGACGTCAACGGAAGGGTTAGTAGTTTCTGCTCGGCCCCCCAAACAAATGGCTTACAATTGACCGTGATTGCATTTATGCGGGATGTGCTCCTCCTCTCCCTCCTCTTCAGGTTCTTTCTCAAACTTCTGCGCCGGGAGTTGCCATCGATTTATATGAGATACAACAGGCAATTTTTGATGCTATGGGTAAAAATTGATACAAGTAAATTTATCACATGGCGTTCATGAAAAGTTATATTGAAAAGTCCTAGAATTGTATATAGTGCATCATATATACTGTACAACTTTTATTTCGATATTAATTTGGGAAATTAAGATACCAACCAATAGTTTATAAGAGCAAAAATTAGTCAGCATTAATCCTTGCTATTCCAACTACCATTTGACTCTAAACGGGTTAGTATCTGAAATTTTACTATTAGTGTTTACTTTGAAAAAAAAAACCCAAGAAACTGCATGTTGAAGTATTACAAATTTATGCCATATTGAATCCTATTCTAGATAATATTAAAAAAAAACATTTAAAAAGATGCATTTGTTCTATAGCATACAAAAAAAATTTTATAGCAAATTTATAAAACCTTGAAAGATTTTTTATGTGATCTATTAAATTAATTATATATATTTATATAGTTTGACAATTATTTGTAATGCATACCTGCGGGTAACAAGCTTAAAATATATGGATTGATACATGCATTCTAATTTTTAAGATACTAAAGCCATAATTATAGCATATAATACTAAATCTAACTTATATAAATTTTCCTACAAATAACTTATTCTATCAAGTTTATATAACATGATATTTTGTGTCTACATGGTTGCATGTATTAAGCCACTAAGAATATATAATAACGGCTAATAGATTGATACATTACGGCAAATTTGTGAAATTAAAAAAATTAAGCAGATATAGTGAAAAGATGGGTTAAACGTTAGATTTAGGGTACAGTAGTGTATCATAATTTAAACCAGAACATATTTCACAATTATCTTTGATTACTTACTGCTAGACAAATATGAAATGAGATTCAGAGA